TTACTATGTAGTAATGAGCAATATAAGTATTTTTTAGCATAGAAGTTCTCATATTATCTAATAATAAACATTTATTCAAGTATTATTAATTTGTTACTTTTAAAATAAATGAATAATTGTAATTTTTCATATTTTTTCAAAACTTTCGAAAATTAAAAAAAAATTGTTTTGCACTGTACGAATACAATAATTATTTTTTATTGTGTTTTATTCCTTTTGAATTTTTTTCAATCGTGATTAAAGTGATTTTTAGACTTAACGACGTTTATCACATAGTTAGTGGGGGAAAATTTCAGAGAAGTGAAAGGAACGCTGACATGTGCGGTAAAGCTACCAATTGTTGTTGTCATGTGGATGTTTTCACACACATGCTTCTACGCACACTTTTTCCCCTCTTTCTGAAATTATTTTAAAATTAACTTGTAGGTCCATTCAAAAATTTTATATGTTTATCTAAAACTAATCTTTCGTATCTAAAAAATTGCGAGATTCCTGTCAGTCATATACATGCCATTTAACGTTATTTTTTAATAATACTACATGTTAAATGTCGATTTTTTAAAATGCAACACATTTAAAATAATGGCACAGTCAAACGAGCTGCAATTTTTGTAGATATTTTTTATGCTAATTCAATATGGGTTTGCCGTTTGAATAATACGTGTCAAAAAATCTATGTATGATGAACGTCCTGAAGGGACATTCATTGGCATGTAATACTACCCTATTGAAGAAAGCTACACTAAAAAATGGTTTTCCTTAATTTTCTATCTACAATTATGTTTTGGGTAAATGATATGGACAAGGAACAAGTGTGTTATCGTATGTAATAGATGTAAGCGTGACGTTACAGACGTGATCAGCGTAGGCAGTAGGAAGTTGTTATGAAATCACTGGAAGATTTGATGAAAACGCACAGTCTCGTACTGACCGGCCTATATATTATTTTATTGTATTGTGCCATAATTTATTGTTCATATTCGTTAACTCATTTAATATTTAAACATTTTTTTAAACAACACCCAAGTAACGGAGGTATGTTCATTCCAACTATAATTGCACTACGTTTGTACAGAATATCGTGTCATAGAAGGTAAATTTATATTCATAATTATATCATCTGACATATAATTTAATAAAAGTGTAACTTCCGACTTGGATACTCAAGCATCCACTGTCCCGTGGTTTTTTTTCCATTTATAAAATTTCCAAAAAAATTTGAAAAAATTGCATAAACAATAGTTGATTTGTTTCAGAAGGAACAAATTAATAATAAATAAATAAATGTTTCGAATTTTTGAAAAAAACATTTACTAAAAAAATTAATTTTATCAACTTAGTTGCTTACTTCATGTAAAATAAAGCCAAATGAATGAATCTACAATAAATTGAAAATAACATAGAAGATAAGTTACAAACTGTAAGATAAAATAAATATAGTAACCAGTTCTTCATTGACGGGCCCGCTTATAGCAGTGTAGGTAAGGGGCTCGCTTAGTGTGCAAGGAGACAGGGTCTTAAATCTTCGTGGAAACTGTTTTTTTTTTTTTTTTTTTTTCTTTAATTAGAAATTGGTTAAAGAAAAAAATAAGTAAAATTGAAAGTGCATCGTGTTCTGTGTTGCGATGATGTGTGGAGTAGTGCAATGATGTTGGGTGGTGTAGGAAGAGAAAAAGTACGTCAATAGGGACCAGGAAAAGGGGGAGAACTAAGCAAAATCTACTTTCAGGTACACTTTTTCTCAAGGTTGGTATTTTTAAATCATTGATTTACTCCGTAGGGTAAAACGTGGCTAGTGAAGTATTACTTTAACAACATTGTACATTCTACAAAAAGTGTTTTTTTCTTAAACTTATAAAGAAATGTTGCCTTCATAGTCATGTAAAGCATCTGGGTCAATATTAAGATACAGCTGGTGCAAGGGATTGTTACGGCTTGTAAACATCGCCTTTTACGACGACTAAGTACAGGGTACAGGGTGGTTAGGTGGGTTGTACTTGAAATGAACCCTTCTGAGTATTATTTAATATAAAAGGAAATATGTATATACATATATAACATTTAAGTGAATGTAATGTATATTTGTGGGTGTAGGTGTGTGTATGTTTGTACCTCAATTGTGGAAGCACGATGAGATTATGGCACAAAACTGCGACACGGAAGAATACATACGGGCTAACTGAGATCTGCTCCCCATTTCAAATACAGTCACCTGACAAGATTTATTTTCAGTATTATCCGTTAAACAATTTTTGTGGGCCCAATTTGCGGTCTCCTAAAAAATTCTAAGACTCAGAGAGGTGTCTTGGTAAAGTTTCGAACCTTTAGGCTTCAAGCTAGGCTACTTTGCAGTATAATTTGACTATTTGCATTCAAACGTATTTTTTCTTAAAAAAGTTAACTAAAGTCTTGTACATGTTTTATTTGATAACCACATAAAACTCAAGTAATCTGATCCTATGCTTTGATTACAAGGTGAGAGCCATACTTAAGGTATGATTGTCAGGAAGTGCATTTTTGTAAAATATTACTTTTATAATAATAATTAACAGAACATTTACCACCACGAATTCTAATCAATGTTTTTTATGATTTTTCGAAGGTTAATTATTTCTTATGTTAAGTTATCTATAGTAAAAACATTGGTTTTTTTCTTTAACATCACCTTCTTTTTGTTCCTTATAAACCATGCTACTATCATTTTGGTGTATTAAAATGAACTATTTTAGTAACTATTAGTATCGCTAATCTCATTTTTTTCCGCAAAGATTGTCTTATCGGTACAACAAATCTTTATTTAAAAGAAAGAGTGAACTTAAAATTTTTTTTTTTTTAGAATGTAAACATTTCGCCAAATCTTAATAATTGTTTATTTAAATCCATACACAACGGAAAATGATTAAAGTGCATTTGCACTTAGATATATATAATGGAGATACACCTTACGCGACGGCTTAGCAGGCTATTAAGCAAATAAGTGTTAATCTTGAGTCCATTATTACCAAGAAAATAGGCAAAAGCGAGACTGTTGCATATCTTTTAGCTTACCTTATTCTTTAGTGTTCTTATTAATACAAATCAGATAACGAGTGCATCCTCTGTGCAGTCCATCCTAGGATTAATTCTTCCGATAAGAAGTTCTTCCCTCCGTTAATCTCCGGTACATTTCATTTTAGTCGTGACTTTGAGGTAGACACTTAATATTCTCATTACATGTATATTAACAAGCATTATTATTTCCTTCTCCCGTAAGCCGAGTTACGTCGTAATCCTTGTCAAGGGCAGTATGAATCAGACTGTATTTCTACGGATCCCTCATTCGTTCAACTTATCATATCATATGTTTAATTTTTAAGTAAATAATTTATAAATTTTCCTGAGCCTTCATTAAAAACCACATTAAATTCAGTTTATGCAAACTTATAAATTATTTATTCAATGTTCTAAGCTACAGTCGTTAAGTCTTAAATTTTAGCTTTTCACAATTCTAAATGAGTACATTTATTAAATAGTATATTTTTTACCTAGGGCAGAAAGTACAATTTACGAACCCAAAGGGTACCGTTGTTATATTTTTGTGCCCCAGGTGAGAATGACATATCGACAATTACTTCCCGCCCTAGGGTGAACACAATCTTTGAACTATGTTTTTCCTACCAAGCGTACACTTGGCCTTTAAAAATGCCTAAGGTAGAAGAATATTCTATTTTCATTCATTTATTATCTTGTTATCAATTTTCTCAATATATTCTAATTCAAAATTAAATTTTTTCAGAGTATTTAATATGCCTGGAGAAAAGTGGCTGTTCCTCTGCATATACGGTAATTAATCTTTTTATTAAAATATTTTATTATAATTTTGTATTTTTTCCTCTTTACTTGTGACATTAAAAAATTAAGAATAATTTATACTTGTATACACAATATTGTACACAAAAATCTAGACAGAGACCAGGTTTTATCTGTACAGGGCGAATTACAGCAAAAATCATTCACAACAATATAAGAAAGTTAAGCACTGTAGTACGAAGTCTTAGTTTTGGATATAAAATAAAAGGATTATATCTCATTATTGTATAGACAACGGCGAACAATGGTTGTCAGTTTTACGAGAGATTGTATGTACATACAAGTAGTCACTTCGAGTAAAAACGTGTAACTACTTCGCAACTTAGCAACATCATACTCCCAATTAAAAAAGTTGTCTTACGTGTTGAATCTCCCAAGTCTTGAAGTTGCATAACAGTAAACTAATAACTTCTTCCTTATGTGGTTTCATGTAAATATTAAGTTCTTTTTACTAACGTTGTTTATAGCGCTTGATTAAATTCACATTTATTGTGTTGCATAGTCTCAGTGTAAAATAATGCCCATTTGAGAACAGAGCACATTTTATGGTTTCTATTAAGATTATTGAACAGAGACTTAGAATTTGTCTGTTATTTGATTTTTTTTTTGTAATTAATCTAGTACAGTTAATACAAATCTTTGTCGTAAGGTGGGAGTTATTTCAGAAATAGGATAAGGTATGTTTAATAACCTTTAAAATTTAATGGATGTTTTCATAGTTTGAATTTTATATGATTGTGACACTATAAGTAGTAATAAAAAAACATGTATCTTATTATGGATTAGATCAACTACAATAACTTCAGAATCATCTTGATTGGCATAGTTTATTGCGATAAAGAAATTTTTTTTAATTTTAATGACGTTGTCACGTTTACAGAGAGACCAAAAGTAAAATTAATTCTGTGGCTTCATTGGCAGTGATACTTAGAAAGAAATTTTTAACTGAAAATTAAATAGTTTATTTACAAAAACTTATGAATGTAAATAACCAATAACTGGTAACATCCGAACTTAAAATAAATGACTTTAATTTGATTGTTCAAGAAAAATTTGAAGATTATTTATACAAACAGTCAATTTAACTGTTATAACTAAAAGAAATTGTTGTTTACAAGTTCTTGTATTTTAAAATCACTCTCAGAGTTATCAGAAGCACATGTTTCTGTGAATTCTAGGGGCAGAGGGCAGCAAGCATGGATGTTTGTTGTGGACGCCTTACTCTCAAGTAATTGTCTGGGCTTATTCAAAATTGCCTTGTGAAGGACACTTGTACACCAAAATGAGTTTATTTTTATGAAAAATATAAGCCTTCTTATCACATGAAGACTGTTTAGTTAGTTGTTAATTAGGATTCTGCGTTCTTATTACCTGTATAGTTTTTGCTAATTTTTTAATTTTCTTATGTAGGAACTACAATGAGAAAAAAGTTTTTATCTTGAACCTTACACTCTACCAAAAAGTAACATTTAAAATATGTGAAATTTTTATATCAACTTATGTCTATTTTAAAGAATATGATTGGCTAAACATTCTATGACGTCACGAGTGTTGTAATTCCTTATCGTAAAATTACTCTATTAAAATTGTGCTCATTCTTATCAGTTAGTTTTTTATATTTTATAAAATCTTACACGTCACCATAAAATTAAGCGTGTTAATTATATAAGAAATGGTTTAAGAAAAACTGATTCTAGAAATTTACGATGAATCGATTCATTTTTAGTGTATGAATTTATAACCAACAATGGCTCAATACACCAGAAATTCAGGAGTCCAAGGCAAGCATGTAGGTATATAATATTCATTATTTATTTTAATTTTATCAGAGTCCTTACTATAATTACTATTTGAGTGTAGATCATCAAGAGAAAGTTATAAAGATCCTGCTATAAGTTGCGTTAGCTTGAAAAGAACGTAGAATGTTTGTAGTATTTAAGCAACGGTTTGTTCAGAAGAATCGTATAGCACAGAAGTTATCCCGCTTTTCTGGATGATAATAAAAAAAGACAGTAGTTGAACATGCAGAATGCTCGGAATACCCAGTTTGTTGTAGAACTGTATTTATTTATTCCTTTGAATAACACAAATCCTTATTACGGTCTCATTTTTGATAAATCTTTATTTTTCACTATAAATGGAAAGCTGCAAGCATATATTTACTTTGTTGACGTAGGTCCTCAGAAGAGATAACGAACAAGTATGTAGAGAGGTTGCATTTTATTGGAGGAAAGATGTTTTTTTTAGATATAGAAACGAATAAAAACTTTATTCTTTTATTCCCGCTTCTTTAATAGTCAATGCCCGTAGATATCATCCAACAACAATGTCTAATAAACTTTATTTGAAATGATGTTGTTATGAATATTACCGAACAACATCAGTAGACCATATCTGTTTATAAGATATACTGAGGTAACACTGATTAAAAATTTTTTAAATGTTCTTTAGTGTTCTTCCAAAAGTTACGCAACAACTATATTTGCAACAATGCCAAATAGAATACTATAAAACATAGTGACAGTCTATTATAGCATGAGTTAAGATATTGTATGATAACGACTTTTAAGTTGTTCAAAAGCTGTAAATGTAAATCAGACAATGGTAGTTAATAGTTAAATAAATTATCAGAGTTAAAGAAATATGGACTTAAAGTAAGAATTTTGAAGAAATGGTGTTTTTTGATCATGAGTAAGCAACGGTTTTATAATTCAAAAATTCAGACTTTTTACTATTGCATCTTTTGTAATATTCAGATGATCTCCTGATATTATAAGAAATGATGATGTAGTTTATATAAAATTTCCAAGTTCCCAGGACATATTAAAAAGTTATTTTTGTAATAGTAAAAGCACTGACGAACGTAAAGCATGAGTCTTACACTGTTAGAAAAATGTGTATTAAATTCCATAACTATGTATCGGAAGAAAAATTCAAAAGTGGTTTTGAAATAAGATTAAAAATTAACATGAAAGCTTGAGAACACAAGATTGAAATTTAATAAATAGTTAACAAGCTTAATATCAATAAAATAAGGTCAATGTCCCAGTACTTGGTAATGTCCCAATAGTCGGTCATCTGGCTGATTTTTTCCCTATAAATTTTTAAAACATTTATAAATCGGGTAGCTATTTAGACACTGAGCAATTACTCTTTCAATGCAAGTTAATGAATAAACCCAAACAAAAATATAATCAAGGCCCATAAAAGAAAAAAAGTTACCGACTATTGGGACATTTCGTCTGCTTACGTGAGCGAGTACTGGGACATCCACCTTAGTGTAATTTTAAGAAGTATGCACAGTAGTTAAAAACATATCTCTTGAAATAAATAAGTGTTTGTATGAAAAAATTCATTAAAATTTCATAAGTAGTGATGGAAAAAATTTTCTGGTACTATATTTTGAAAGTATTTAATGTTTATAAGATAAATTTGATGTAACAGTTGTAACGTTTTCAGCTTAACGATAAATTTTATATTTCAAAAAGCGTTAAGTAAAACTCGTTAATTACATCCCAAAATGAATGTAAAATAGTATCAATGAGTTATTAAGAATACTTCTTTTGTTACCTAATGTGATCGTTGAAAGCTGCAAATTTAAGGTCTTTTTAAGTATTTTTTATTCATCGTTAAAGTAAGCCATGATTATCGAGAATTAATTAAGTCCTTAAGTATTAGTTCTTTGTTGTTGTAGGTACATATATATAAAATCGATGTATCGGTAAAAATCGGTAATGCCATATCTTCTCGCGTATGTATTTACACTTATGGAAAATTGATGTATTTTATTTTCCGACGAATTTGAATATTCGATTGAACATTGAGTTTATGGACGAGTTTATTATTTTTAAAAAATGTGTATCGGATCCCTTCTGTTAGATCAATGAAAAACCAAAAGAAAGTCGTAAAGATACGACCCCTTCTGTCCATACATAAAATCCAATTCCACCTCGAAATGAAATCGGCGTGTTGCATTCAAATGGTCGCTCGATCGATTCGTCGATCACCAGTGCAGAAGTGCGGGTCGAGGAGGGGACACGCAAGAAACATGGACGGACGGCAACTCGAGTAAACGTCGGACCCGGAAATGAGATAAGATTTCGGTCCTATGTGTATTAGACCTACTGATGCGCCGTCCAGTACATCGGGGCGATTTCCCCGAGGACGCGCCTCCGTATGGCACTTCATTAATCTCTTTCGCTGAACTATATGGGTTATTTGCTTGCGCCAATTTTCGATGTCCCTTCCGTGAGGATACAGAGGCCTAATTGTTTCTGCTGCAGCTGTATTGGTCCCGGGAGTTTTTGCGATGCTTTTTGCTGTGTATAACGTTTTGCACGAACCGGAAACCTGCCCGGTGATGATAATTGTCTAAATTATGATTTTGATGACTGCATAACATTTTCTGTTGTAACTATCGCGTAACCCTTTTTTTTTTTTTTTTTTTTTTTTTCAAGCATCCATTGGTT